TTTATCGTAATACTTAATAAGTTAGGCAATACGTATACAAGACTTTTCCCCCCATATTTTTGCTGAATAAAATATGAAACCATTTAAACCTTAACGTGGCCTTAATTGGCGTCCTTACCTTATCATATTTTGTGATTACAAATGAGAGAGAGCTCGTGTATCAAACTTACTCTGTACCTACACACTGAGGTCAAAATATTAAAACATTAGCATTGAGTATTTTATTAATGAGACAACATTGAAACTGATATATACTTCTTAAAGGTGTGATAAAAATTAAGCTAATAAATGAGTAAAATTTTATCCGAATTACTACAGTTTTTCTTTTAATTTACCCATTTAACTAATAGTGCTAATAAGCTCCTTTTATTAGCCATAAAACAATTTTTTGTACCGTTAACAGGTTTCCACCACATGATTAAAACCTACACATAGAATAAATGTCAAAGGTAACAAAGACACAAGATTTCGATCTTTTAATGGTTTCTTGTATAAAAACAGCACACAATTAACATACCTCTTAGGAAGCAGTTGCAATTGGTTTCCGAGTAACCACAATTTACTTCCGTTAAACCATTTCTCCATCCGATCATATCATAAAGTTCGCGAATACTAGTTAGTCGTGCCTTTTTCACTTGTTTACATCGTTTGCCGTTGCCATGGAGACGCTCTATATTGATGAAAAACTTTTCATGATACGGACGGACAGTAATATTTCTTTTCAATGTCAAATGGTTTACCTACTTGAGGAATTTATCATATACATGTCTTTTGTTTCAATATTTATGATTTTGGACTATAAATAGAATTTTTTAATTCAGTATATATAAGAACAAATATGAATGAAATATTTACCGACGAAAATTAACATACTGTTCGTATAATATGAAAAATTGACTTTTTTAATTGATTTTGAATTAAAAAGCTAGTTATTATTAGCTATTTGCAAAAGATAAATTAAAACGTATCATAAAAGAAAGCAAAAAGACTTCATGGAACCTTTATATCAATTCTGTTTCTTCCGAGACACCTTCAAGCCAAGTTTGAAACAAAATTAAACATATGAAAGGTCAAAGCACAGCCTACAAAACACCCGCCTTAATTCATGACAACAAAATAGTGACTCAAAGTCAAAGTATTGCCAAGATTTTTGCGCATTACTTTCAATCCAATGCCCTATCCAGTACACAAAACTCAGCTGCTATCCCGATGACATCTCTTCAATTTTCCTCAAATATATTCATGAAGAAACCATAAATAAATTGCTTGAGTTGTACAAACTAATCTGGTCTCGACACGAATTTCCTTCCAAATAGAGGGAATCCATTATATCTCCTATCAAAAAAAGTAGCTCTCTTCCCAATTCTCCAAACTTGATAAGGCCAATCTTCCTAACATGTATCTTTTGCAAATTATTGGAAAAATTATCAATAACCGATTAATCTGGTATCTAGAAAAAAACAATATGCTTAACCCTGCTCAATCAGGTTTTAGACCTAATAGTGTCGTCTTTTTGTGGAAAATAAGAAGTGTAAAACCCTTAAAAACCACGCAAAACGCTCTCTTGATGTCATCTTGTCTTGTCAAAGACAAGGTAAAGTAAAATAAACCACTACTAGGTTTAAAATAAAACAATTGGTACAGTCGAACGAAACTCAGCCACAGAATCTGGTAAAAACAATAAGCAGAGCCCCTAGGGCGCTATGCTCTAGGGGATCCCGAGAAGGACTAATCTGGCTATAATAAAATAAAAACGTTATTGCCATTATAAATTTACATTTCAAATTGTTTAATAATTTATGTTCTTCTTCTCGACGTCCCGTTTTTGCACCGCCTGATGTTGATAATTTTTCCTCTCGGATTCCTGGACTTCTGCTGGTGGCATCCTGGCATCTTCTCCTGTAGGTACTTTTTGTGGCATTGTACCTACTTCTCTGGTTGGCTGTTCTTAGGTAACCATCCGGCTAGACCCTGATCAGGTGGTCGATATGCTTGTGGGTCTGTCTATACATCCTCTGGATCCTGTTTTTCTCGAGAATGTCCCTGGTCTTGCGGAGTCTTCTTGTAACCTGCTGGAAGAAGTATCTTGTCCTTTTCTTAGCCACCTCCCTTAGTAGTGTATACTGTAGCCTTTATTTGATGGTTGCATTGGTTATTCTTTTTTCCCATGTTGATCCGTCTATGATTCGGTAACACGATGTCTCTGTGGCTTTAAGTCTCCTCCAGTTGGTCTCCGCTATTGAACTCCAAACTGAGACTGCATATAATATCACCGTTCTAAAGTAGGCGTGGTACAACTGACTGGATCTACTTGGCCTTCGTTAGTGGACTGGTCCTGAAAATATAGGGAGTATTAGTTTTTTAGCAGCATTAGCTTTTGTTTTTTGTGTATGCAATTGGAAGTAGAGTTTTTCTGTCGAGGTGAACTCTTAGGTATTTGACTGCATCTCCTGCTTGGATCCTGTTTTCTCTTACTGTAATTTCGTGCACTGGTGGGTTTTGTTCCTGAGTGAAAATAATGAATTTTGTCTTCTCTGCGTTGATTTTTATCTTTGATTTCTAATAAGGTTGGCCTGCAAATCACCGATATTTATAAGTGTTTAACTATTTATATGGTATTTTCAAATTAACCCGCCAATAAGAAAATTCGAGGCGTAGTGATGCGCATCGGAGTGTACTATGGCCTCCAAGTAAGACGTAATCGCAGTAATTTTTGATATAGCAAGCACTTTCGATACATGTAAGTCGGTTATTCTTGAAAAACTGGTAGAAAATTATCTTACGGGCAACATATTTTGCTTTATAATCAACTTTTTAAATAATAGAAATTTCAGAATCACAGTTAACGGAGTATTATCCGACAACTATGTCACTGAAAATGGTGTACCTCTAGGTTTCTACACCCTCTCTCTGCTATAAATCAATAATATTTGCTCTCATATAAAATCTGTTAAATTTGCCCTATACGCAGACGGCCTTATTGTATACTGCCAAGGAAAATCCACAGCTGCAACCTCATCTTTATTACAAAATCTGTCCAGTTCCTTACTACATGGTCCGAGAAAACTGGCTTCAGGTTCTCTTCCAATAAATCCAATAATTAAATTCACCGGAGATACAACAGCGCAGAAATACCCAAAATAACACTAAACGGAGTAAATTTGGAGTTGATTGATCATTACAAGTTTTCAGGACTAACTGTCGATAACAAACTCACCTGGCGACGTCATGTCGATGAAATAAAAGGCATCTGTTTAAGCAGAATGAATTTTTTAAAACATTGTTCCACCATCAATGGAGTGCCAATGAAAGTGTACTACTCATAATATATCGAGCTATAATCCGATCTAAATTAGACTATGATTGTATAGTTTACTAGTTTAAACTCTGTTCACAACACTGCTCTCCGAATTTACTTAAGAACTTTTCGATCCAGTCCCACTGAAAGTCTTCATTGTGAATCTCATGAACTCTAAATTAGAATCGATCCATCTCCTCACTTTCCGAGGGACTTGAATAACAATAATATGGGTGCCTTCTCATATCGGCATCCAAGGACATGAGATGGCTGACAGCACTGCAAAAGAAGCATCTACATCCAACTTACCCGTCTACAACATACAGCTCCAAGAAGATTTAAAAATCAAAATTCAAAAGGAATATCCAAGACAAGTGGCAGGAACTTTGGATCACCAAAAACACAAAGCTCAGAGAAATACAACCTAATGTTTATAGCTATTTATCCCTAGCATCTCTGAACAGAAAAGAAAAGATAGGAATACGAAGATTGAAATAGGACATACACGTTTGCCTCCGGTCATATTATGTCCTCTATAGACCAACAGCTTTGCTCTCACTGCAACGATATTCCTATTACTGTCAAGCACATCCTCACAGAATGTCAATAATACCAGGTCACCCGCATTGCCAACAATATAACCCATAGTCTAGAAGAACTTCTGAACTGTTCGAGCCGACTCATAGACTTTTTAAAGACTTCTCAATTGTTTAAACAAAATATAATTTATACAATATTTTTATTCTTCACTATTGTAAACTCAGTATCATAAATTTGTAAGTGCTATTGTAACCTTGCTCCCGTGTCAATGACCTAAAATGTCGAGACACGTTAATTTGGAATAAAAAAAAGCTAGTCTTGACGAATTACTTATATTTGGGATTATAACATTCATAGACAATATTATGATGTAGACTTGAGTTCAATAAAGGATCACTCGCTTTTATAACATTCAGTTTCCCCGATCGCTAGAAAATATCAAATGAAAAAATACATTTCTTTCATTTGGTATTGAATTACATTGATAAAACTTTTAAGATTGAAGATAAACCAGCTAAAATATCAAGTTCTTAAACTCTTCAAAAGAAATATTTCAGTGCATGTTACAAAGATGTGATGACGGGTATTAAAAATCAGTTAAAACCCGAATATCTTTGGATTTACGCTGACGAAATAACGGAACAATGGTCGACAAATTGCGAATCTAATTATTGACTCTGCCGATTTTAAAAATTCAAATTTAATTAGTTTAAAATGTTTAGAAAAAGAAAACAAATTAATTTAATTATATATATATAATATATAATATTCAGGTTTAATTGGAATTTTCATTTTTCAAATTTTCAATTTTCAATTTTCAAATTGTGACTTGTTTTTTTTTTGGCAAATTTTCCTTCCTAGAATGGGCGCTGTAAGTTTAAAAGTGATGGTAAAAATTTGAGAAGGGAGGTTAGGAAGAAATGATAATATTTACAATGAATACATTAGAACAATTCTAGGTATATCATTTAATATTAAAATCAGATAACAAAGTTTAAAACAGTTAGAGCACGTTTAACTCCAAAACACTAATCAATCAACACAAAAAATTGCTGAGTATCACATTCTTATACTACATATAGGTTACACAGAATTGAAACGTCATGCATATTACCATGGCGTAAATGGTTGTATATTATCAAAAGCATAAAATTTGACTTACCCGACGAAAAAATATTCTGAAAGGAACTTTACCAATTTTTTCATATCAGGATTCCTATTAAGTGTTCCCCTGTCGGCGGACATGCTGTAAGTTTAATTTTCTTGTAGAAAAAACCTAGGACAAAATTTCAAAATTACATTAAAAATAAGTATACTTTTAAAATATTGGTCATATATTTCAGTATTTTTTGTGTGCCATATTCTCTTCCCACCATTTATCAAAAAATGTGTATCTCGAGGAAAAATATCAATTTTCAACAGCAGCGTTCATTGTGCCAAGACTTATTTCAAAATATTAAAAATTGTAGTGTACTAAACATCACTAAACCGAAATTTTCGATTCCTCAATAAAAAAGGCCTATAATGCAACTTCGAAGCAGAACATATTGGTACTCTATAACTTCTATACCTGGTAAGCTATTTATGAGATCCAATAAAAACAACTCAATAAAGCCAAAAAGCGAAAATATTTTCGCAGCATCGATATCGTTGCCATTAAAACCATCAAGAAGGAGATAATAAAAGTTGAAATGATTATATCAAATGAATTTAGTAGGTACTTTATCTTTTTTCTTTATATATACCAGAAATATAAAAGACGAACATTTGGAATATGTAAATTGTGGACTAAAGCACCATGCGAACTACAAAGCATAAAATGTGCACAAGCAGCTATTGGACAAAAGTATCCAAAAAGTAGAGATCCAAACCCTCAACTGCCAAAATAAAACACAGCGAATATCATTTTTACAAGCAGTGCATTAAAAGATTCGAAATAGTCAACAAAAAGGTAGCACTACATGGAAACAAAACACTTGACATAAAAGTCAACCTTATAACATCTATATGTGTATTTGAATATTAATAATTTTAATGTTAAAAATAGTGCTGTGGAATGTAAACGGCTTAAACTAGCATTCTTGTGAACTAAAGACCAGTATAACCAACAATGAAATAAAGATCATGCTAGTGACTGAAACGCACATCACGGCTAAAAGTGGCTCTTTAAATACAAAATCTACTTTTCTAATCCCGCTGATCGAACTGCACATGGAGACACTGTAATAGTAATAAGCAATTCCTTAAAACACAATAAATTGGAAAGCTATAAAGGAAATAAGCTACAATGTTCTAACACTTGCTATACGAGTGGAAGTGGAAACATTGACTCTCGAAATTACAAGTATGAGAAGCCTTTGACATGTGGGTTTTTCGAAGGATGCTGAAGATCTCTTCAACAGCGCACGTGACCAACAACGAGGTGGCTCTTAAATATTGTAAAAAACAGAAAATCGAGTTATCTAGGACATATTTACAGAGGAGAAAAATACAACTTCCTACGACTTAAAATGGAAGGAAAAGTGGAAGAAAGAAGAGGTCCAGGAAGAAGAAAATGCTCCTAGTTGAAGAACGTAAGAGACTAGACAAGTATGGACACACATTCGATACTAAGAACAGCTCGAGATGGAGAGCAATTTGCTGTAGTTATAGCCAATATTCAGTAATGGAGAAGGCACCTTAAGAAGAAGTTCTAACACTGCAGAAAGGATTTGTCAAAACCATTAAAATATCTGCCATATACTTCCATATACAAATACAACTACTTTAAAATTATCAACATATATAATTTGCTGATTCTGTCTGCCTGTCTGTCCGTAACGAAAACTCCAGCGCCACTTATCCACAAAAATACTACTATCTCTGTAGCACGTAACGATCTCTGCAACGTGTTGGGATTTATTCTCCTGAACCTGCGTTTGATAAGGGACAGATTTACATAGCGTTTTCTAGGTTAGACAGAGATGTTAAAAATGTAAATTTTCGTTGTCGATTGACAGTTGTATTTATTATTTTTGTAATTTATTTGTACTATTTTGGTTATTTTAAAAAAAGAGAAATTTTTGTGTGGTACAACCAGTTTCAATATGTATATTTGTATCATATTAACATTGACATACTAGCAATGTATAGACTACCCAAGATGACCAGTATATTCACAGCAGAACTCTACGCTATACTTAAAGTTTTAGAGGTTCCAATGCAGGGTACCAAAAACTTAGCAATCTGCACAGATTCATTATCATCCATAAATTCGATTAGAAACACTTCGGTTTAGATGATATGGAATCCTTCACATGTTGGTATTAAAGGAAATGAGAATGCTGACCACGCAGCAAATGAAGCACGTCGCTCTGACCTTACAGATGAAAAAGTCCAAATGTTTCAAGACATAATATTTGAAATTAAAAAGTTATCTACCTCAATGTGGCAAAATCAATGGAACAGGTGCACTGCCCAACTAAAGTCTATCCAACCAAACATTTTAGGACCTAGAAATGTTACAATGGAAAGAAAATCGAAGACCATCATTAGAAGGCTCAGAATTGGGCACACCCGGCTAATCCACGGACATATGATGTTTCCCGAAGAACCTCCAAACTGCCAATATTGCAACTCCCGTCTAAGTGTACACCATATACTTGTGGAATGTAACCAGTACGCAGCAGCATGGATCAAACATGGTATCCACGGAAGTTTATGTGATATTTTAAAATCTAAAAACAATATGTCTAATGTGATAGAGTTCCTTAAAAACTCTAAATTATATCACCTGTTGTAATTGTATCATCTATCTATATTTCAATTTTGTAATCATCCTCTAGTTTTTTTTTTATTTTTTTTTTTTGATATCATCTGTTTTGAAATTTATTGAATCAATGTAACTTTATTGTTATTCTGTAATACAGTTCCTCGTGTCAATGGCCGCAGCAGCCGAGACATGTAATTTGAAATAAAAAAAAACATTGACGATAAAACTGACTTTAAAAAGTACTAGGAGAAAATAAAGTTCTAAAAACATTAAACTCATCTTATATAACTCATCAATAAAATTTAACGTAAAGGACACAACAATTTGGGGATTTAGGTAATTAAAACCCACATCATATTTTTACGAGGTGCATAGATTTTCGTTACTTTTTTTATTTTAAAGACAGTCTTGTCATAAAAAGGCCACGTATCCATTTTTCTTAAAAAATGTTTCTTACAAAATATTTCATGAGATGTTTAAAAAAATAGGTCTTTTAGTTTATAACTTCAAAGTGCACCTTTGTGCAACTTTTTTGTGTACAAATTTGTACTAAGGTAAGTTTGATTATTTTTATATCTTTTTAGCAACTGAGTATGTGATTTAATTTATGACCTACCTTTTGTTGCACCCTGTACTTACTTTAAGTTGAATACTTACCTATAAGACGTTCAAACAATATAAGTTATTCCATAGAACAAAGATTTTAAAAGGGTAAATAAACCAAGAATTATTCTATTGTATCCTAGCACACGTATCGAACTCTCACCACCGTAAACAACTAAATAGTCCAGAAATTGTGTATAAATTTGGATAGGGTTTATAAGTTCGACTAATATAACTTATTGATTTGTATAAATAATGTAAGATCTCTTTCTATTACAAAATTTATCCTACTGAATATTTCAGTAGGATAGTAGGATATTAGTCTTCTCGGAAGTCAGTTAACAGTGTAATAGCTAAAGCTCGGATTATAGGCAAAATGCCTTTTTTTGCCTATTTTGCCTATTATAAGTGTTTTTTGCACTTTTTGCCTTTTTTCGTAAATTCCGCCTATTTGTGCCTTTTTTAAAATTTCATGGTACTACCCATGATATTATTCTATTACTAAACCATTCTATAATAAAATTTTGGGTCAATAATAAAATATCAATGGTTTGTTTATATAATAGATTTCTAGGAAAATGTACCTGATCGAGACTTGAGGGTTAACTATTTGGAAATCCCTAAGCTTTATTAGTTTATTATCAGTTGTACAGTCGGTTACTGTATCAGAGTTTACTCACAAATTAGCAAATTGCTATATCCTAGTTTAGTTTTGTTGCGTATACCGAAAAGCAAAGAACACGTTTTAAAACGTTCAAGACAGTTGTGTGAAAAGATGACATCTAAATTAAGGCTATGGATCGCACCTTATTCGGAACTTTCTCTAGAAGGAGATGGAGCATTTTGTAAACCATGCGGCAAATCGGTAAGTTTTATTTTTTTTTTTCTTTTTTTCTCGTCCCACAACATAACTAAATTCTAAAGCGGTTTTAGAATTCTAATTATTTTTTTTTAATTCTCAGATTTCAAGTAGAAAAAAGTACTTTATTGACCAGCATTGTGGAACCCCACTTCATAAACGTAATTTGGAAAAATTAAATTCCTCTAAGTTAGCCCAAACATCTCTGCGGGATAGTTTAAGCAGTTCAAAAAAAAAGGAGGAAGACGCATTTAAATTTGATTTATGCCAGATGATGATTGCATCCAACATTCCTCTATATAAAGTTAATAACCCTAGTTTTAAACGCTTTTTTTGAAAAATATCTTAATAAATCCTTACCGGACGAGAGTACATTGAGAAAACATACTGTGGAAAAATGTTATGTGGAATGTATTTCAAAAATTAAGCACGAGTTGGAGGGCAATTTTTTGTATATTATCGTGGATGAAACGACAGATGTATGCGGCAGGTATATAGCTAATTTAATGATTGGAATTTTGAACGAAAACTTTGCGAGAAAACCTTATTTAGTTGCCGTTAAAGAATTGGAAAAAACAAACAATTTAACAATAAGTCGATTTATACAAGATAGTTTAACAAACCTCTTTTTACCCAACGCTATACCAGTGAATAAAATAGTTTTAATGCTTTCAGATGCTGCGGCATATATGTTAAAAGCTGCTGTTAATTTAAAAATTTTTTATCCTAATTTAATTCATTGCACTTGTGTAGCCCACGGGGTAAATAGAATTGCTGAAGAAATAAGAAATCTGTTTCCGTTGGTAAATAATTTTATAAATTTTATGAAAAAAGTTTTTGTAAAGGCTCCGTTGAGGGTGCAAATATATAAAGAAAGACTTCCCGGTGTCCCTTTGCCACCTAAACCAGTAATTACAAGGTGGGGAACCTGGCTCGAAGCAGTCTTTTTTTACTTTGAACACTGCAATGAAATAGAATTAGTTATGTCAGAATTTGATGATGATATTTCCGAAGCCATTCGAGAAGCAAAAA